ATGAGAAAGGAGCAAGAGTGCTGAGTGTGGTGGCGCACGCCTGTAATCCCAGCACTCGGGAGGCTGAGGCAGGAGGATCATTGTGAGTTTGATGCCAGCCTGGGCTACAAAGTGAGCTCAAGGCCAGCCTGAACTGCATAGTGAGACCCTGTCTCAAAAAGACCAAAGGGGGCTGGGGATTTAGCTCAGTGGCACAGCGCCTGCCTGGCAAGCATGAGGTCGTGAGTTCTATTCCTGGTACGGGGCCAGGGAGGAGCAAGAAAAAACCCAGTGTTCAGGGTCATGACTTGGCTGTACTGATATAGAAGAAATGCTAGATGTCAAATATATTGACTTTGTGTCTCCTGAAGTCAAAGAATGAATTCTAAGGAACAACGGAGGTTCAGAGCAGGAAACTTTATTGGTGAAAAGGAATGGGGGACAGGGATGGGGTAGTGGGGAACAGGAACAGCTCATGAGAAACAGGAGGGGTCTGGACTGGGTTGCCAATGAGCCCACCTCTCAAAGGAAGTTTTATAGAGCAGAATTATGAGGTGGGCACAATGTGGGTCAAAATTATGATCAACCAATAAGATCTCAAGTATATTTGCTCAGGTAGTATTGACCCAGTGGTAGCAAGGGTGCATGGGTGACATCATTAATCTCGGTCGATAATCTGTAGTGTCTTGCCTTTAGTCTTAGTGGGTGGGAGAGGATGCCCCACCCCTAGTCAGAAATGGGAAATCTCAAAAGGGTGATACTAATAATCTCAAACCTCCGTTCATCCCTTGGGAAGTACGTAACACTAGCCCTTGTGACTTTAATCTTCAGATGCACCTCCAGCCAGCCCTGACGCATTCTCATCTCCTGCACGGAGTCCCTCGGGGGCCCAGCCCTGGCTGCCTGCTCTATTTCTACCTAACTTAGCTGTCTGTAACGTTAAGGTCGCTTACCTGTGCACTTTCTACGCACACAGCAGCAGAGGGAAAGCGGGAGGGAAGGGGTGCAGGTAAGACTCATGACAGGGATGCTGAAAGGCGTTCTTTTTATTGCAGATGTGGATGTTCAGTCTGTACTCAGAAGAGATGTAGTAAGCGCACCTTTGGAACTATGCTGCAAAAATGGGAACTACCAGCTACATGTGGCTGTTTACATTAACACTAAATAAAAATTTTTCAGCTGCACGAGCTCCATTCCAAGAGCTGAAGGGCCACGTGTGGCCACACGAACCACACTGCACAGAGCTGATGCACAGCAGTTCCCTTATCATGAAGTTCTGCAGGACAGCGATACTCTAGAAAAACGTTTTGATCCATCATGGCTGCACAAGCAAAATACTCTTTTTTTTTTTTGTACCAGGAATCAAACTCAGGACCTTGGGCTTGCCAGGCAGGCACTTTTCCCGCTGAGCTATATCCCCGGCCTTTGCACAAGTGAAATAAAACAGCACACCAGCTTCCTACCTGAAGCACTATCCAAGCCCAGAGGAAAAGCCTTTCGGGAGTGTCTTGGTTACTTTTTTTCTCGTTGCTAGGACAAAATATCTGACGCCCAAAATGAAGGAATGAAAGGTTTATTTCACTTACAGTTTGTGGAGGTTTCAGTCCATACTTGGCAGGTTACAAGGTAGAGTGGCACATGGCAGAGAGCTACAGCCCAGGGAGGCAGAATGCAGCCCAAGCAACAAGACACACACAAGGGAGGAAATGGCCAGAAGCACCCTTTTCCTCTCCCTTACATATGCAAACTATCCACCCCAGGGCTGGTGCAGCTCTCATACCCATAATCAGTCAAACTCTAAAAGCCTGCCCCATGGCCGCATGAGGCTTTGGGGGGACACACAGACACAAACCATAACAGGGAGTGACGATGTCTGTGTGTGAACAGTCTCAGTGGCTGGGAGGTAACTCCAGGCGGCTGCTGCGCCTCAGGATGTGATGGGGGAGGCTGGGCTCACACACTCACGCTGCCCACCAAATGCAGTGAAGATCTGTGATGAGGAGAAGGTGCTGCTGATTGCCAAGGACGAAACGCACAGGAAAAAGGAACTGTTGCTGGGGGCACAGGGTGATGGGTACTGAAGAGGTGAGGTGAGAGAATCCACGATGTCAGACAGAAGATGGGGAAATGGGGTCCTTACAGTGAAATTCTAGCTTTACAAAATTTAAGTGAGTTGTAGCAAACTATGTTTGACTTCTGTAGGTGGTTTTCATGGCTTCTGAATGTGGCAGAAGACTGAGGTATTACTATCGAGCCATGCTGTTCACCAAGGCACCACTGCTCAGGGTCCTGCTAATCCACTGGAATGAGAAAAGTCACTTTTGGAATTTCAAAACTAAAACCTCCCAAAAATGGGTATAGTGCCTCATACCTATAATCCCAGCATTCAAGAGGCTAATGCAGGTTTCCAGTTTAAGGGCCCAACTTGGATGACACAGGGAAACCTACTCTCAAAAACAAAAGCTTTTTACACTAACATAAAAATTTTTCAGTTGCACTAGCTCCATTTCCAGGTGGCACACACCTGTAACCCTACAGCACTCAGGAGGCTGAGACAGGAGGGCTGCTGAGTTTGATGCCAGCCTGGGCTGCATAGTAGTTAAGGCCAGTCTTAATTACATAGCGAGACCCTGTCTCAAAAACAAGAACACAACAAACAAAACAAAAACCCCAAAACTAAAACTTCCAACTTGATGGGAAAATCTCTTTTTAATCACCTTTTAAAAAGGAATGTATTTGGCGCCCTACACTGCCGAAGCTGGGGGTGGAACTCACGGCCGCAGGTGTGCTAGGCAAGTGCCCACCACTGAGCTGCATTGTTTTTTTTTTTTTACTATTATTATCTGCAGTGTGGTCATTCATGAAGTTGGATGGAAGGGGGAACGGAGAACTGCAGAGCTCTTGGCACACAATGCCTTCACCCAGACCTCTGCACCAAGACACAAGCAAACTCTAGCACAGCTTTGGCAGCAATGGTCATGTTCCTAAGGTGACCCCAGCCGCTCCTCCCCCATTAAAATGCATCGTAAACTCTGACGCCGCCAGAATTCACATTTTTTCCTAGCGATGCCTGGTAACAGAACTAACTGTCTGTTCTGGCAGACTCCAGGCCTCCCTTTCTTTTTTTTTTTTTTGGTTTTTCTCCGCTACCAGAACCGAACTCACGACCTTGTGCTTGCCAGGCAGGCGCTTTGCCGCTGAGCTAAATCCCCAGCCCCCAGGCCTCCCTTTCTTAAAGCATTTACTAAAGAACCAACAAATCCTTCTTGCGTGTAGGTGTGTATGTAACAAATAACGAGCCGTGCTTCTCAAGGGCCTGCGAGCCATCCCTTTGAAATGGGATCATCAGGAAGGGCAGGGTCTCTATCTCCCTCTCCTGAGATTTAACAAAGATTCTCAGTTCAATCTTTCCTTAGGCTTCTGGATCTTCTTCCAAATCCATTTACGCTCTTGTTTGTAAAATTTAGTCTCGGCACAGAACCTGGCACACAATCTAGAATGGCCTGTCCCTCACCCAGGCTATGTGGCCAGGCTCCTCCTCCTCCATCCTAAGCATGCCTTCAGCTACAGTCCTTTGGGTTGGAAATTCAGCCATCCTGCCTGCTGTTTCCTCTTGATCACTTTCTATCCACTGACCCCTACACTGCTCCTTGCCTATGAAGTCCTGCTCATCCATCCTGTAACTAGAGTTGAGTCCACTGTCTCTTCTCCACAGCAGGACGCCACTGAATTGGTCCCAATACCAATCTCCATGATCCTGAATAAAATTTTTTCTTCCTTTTGGGGGACTGGGGATTGAATCAGGGCCCTCATACTGAGCTACATTCCAAGCTCTTTTTCAGTTTTCGACATGGCTTCCCTAAGTAGGTAAGATGCCCAGGCTGCGCCAGAACTTGTGATTCTCCTGCCTCAGCCTCCCTGAAGCGCTGGGATTACAAGAGTGTACCACCACACTAGGCTCTTCCTGACTGCTCTGTAAGAAGCACTGTTGAACGTTTTTCTTTTACAGGACAAAAGCCTAAGACGGATAACCACCACCTGACAGAGCCGGCCCGATCACGGCCACATGACCAACGCTCACACTCCCGTTCCCTTCCCTTAGAGTTCCTGGGGTTGTGTGCGAGCGGGGCGCCTAGCAGCTGCTGAGCCAGATGTTCCACCGCTGTAACGAAAGCCCCGCGGCATCCACGCCTCACGACGGGAGGGGAAGACTCGGGTCACTGCTGCTCGGCGCGCAGCCGGACCCTGCACCGGCCCGGCCTCCACCCTTCCCCGCGCTCCGGCCCAGGCAGGCCGCGCGGGCTGGGGCAGCGGGTCTCCAGCCCTCTGCGGCCCCTGCTTCCCGAGGCGCCCCGGCCCTGCACAGCGACGGGCCCGGTGAGCCAGCGCCAGGCGAGCACAGCCGGGGGCCCCGAGAGCGGGACCGAGCTCGGCACTGTCCACGGACACGCGCGGGAGGAGGCCGCTGCGCCGAGGAAGGGCGAGGCCGGCGCCGGGAAGCCCCAGCACAGATTTACCCAGCAGAGCTGCCGTCCGAGCACGCTATTAAGGGTTTAGTTGATGTCACTGGAGTGAGATAAGCGACTTCGGGAAGATGACTTCTTGTGGCCACTTGACTGCGTCCTGCGATGAAGGATCCGACCTCCGCAGCCGGAAGTTCGTGAGCTCATTCCCGGCGTTGCTCGGGGCCTTCCAGGTTCAAGCCGGAAGTAACTTCTTACGGTCAGAGGCCCGGGCAAGATGGCAGCACTCTTTGTAAGGCTATTACTAACTTCCGTTGTATTTCTAGCTCTCTTCTAATCATGAGGAACTCTCGGTCTCCATCGTCCTCAGACGCACGTGCTATTTGTTTTTCATTCAGCTTTATTGGCAAGCGGGTGGGAAGGAAAGTAAGGCGATGCTGAGCACTGGAGGGCGCCATGTTGTACGGAAATCGGCCACCGCGTGGGCGGAGAGCCGAGGATCTCGACTGGGCCGGGCCTGCGCGGGGGCGTGGGAAGGCATGCGTGTTACGTCCTGACGTATTTCCGTGTCCGCCTGCCCCCGTCGCGTTTGGTTGGACCGGCTTGTTGCGGGGAGGGCGGGGGAGATTGTTTGCTATCCAGGAGCTCCGCGCACGGGAAGGTAAGTCGAGGTAAGGCTGCAGCGGGACTTCTGCGCCTGGCAGTGCAGGGAGGCCGGGGTTGGTCCTGGGGTCGGCGGAGGAGGGTGGCGTTGGAGACGGGAGGCGCAGGTCGTGGCTGGGCGGCGAGAGGGGCGAGGCGAGACTGGGGCTGCAGCGCGAATCCGGAGGGGCGGAGGGGGCGCGGCGGCCGGGCGGGCCCCGGGGCCGAGCGGGGTCGGAGCGGGATGGCCGGACTGGCCTGGCGGGGCGGAGGCCGAGGGCGGATTCGGACGCGGCTACAGTCTCGTCTTTGTCTCCCTCCCTGCAGCTCCCCGGAGACGCTCATCCGACGCCTCTGCCTGCGCCTGGTCTTCTCCACCACCCACAGCCCGGAGGCGCGCCTGCCTCGGCCTCCCGAATGGTGCTTCTCTGCGCAGCCCTCGGCCCAGCATCCAGGCCCCCTCTGCCCCCTGCCTCGGAGCTGTGGCTCCGGCGACGCCTGGTGGACTCCCTGTGGTGCGGAGAGAGGAGCGTCTGCATACAGCCCCCAGTTCCAGGAACCCCCGGCAGCTGCTACCTCTGCCTCTAACCGCGCGAGTGACCTTCCTGCGCGCCCTGGTCCGCCTTGTGAGCCGAGAAGCCTTCTTGCCGTCCAAGCCCAGGAAGCCCCCCGCTGGGGTCCTGGTCCCAGCATGTCGGTCCTGTCCTGAGCGTAGGGCTCTGCCCTCTCGGGGCCGATGGCAGAGTGCAGGCAGGTCCCGGGGGGACGGGAGACTCCGCAGGGCGAGCTGCGGCCGGAGGTGGTGGAGGATGAAGTCCCCAGGAGTCCAGGGGCCGAGGAGCCTGGTGGTGGCGGCGGCGGCAGCAGTGAGTCCAAGTTGTCGCCACGAGAGGAGGAGGAACTGGACCCTAGGATACAGGTGAGAAGCCCAGGGGGAGAGGAGGGAGCGCGCCTCGGGCCCCCGAAGCCCGGCTGGGGACAGAGCTGACACCCACTGCGCTGTCGCTGTTGCGCGTGACAGGCGGCGAGGCCGTGCGTTGAGCGCGCAGGTGGTGGTGCGGAGAAAGCCCGCTGCGCCCGTGGAGGGCGGTGGGACGCGGAGCTCTGGGCCGTGGGGAGCGGCTGGCGCGGGGTGGCAGGGGTGCTGGGCCCCCGAGGCGGCCTGGTGCAGGTGGGCTTGCCTGGGAGGCTGCTGCGCAGGTGATGTCCCGTGCGTCTGCGCTGGGGAAGTGACTCACGCCCCTCCTTGGGCAGGGGCGTCCGGGGCCCAGTTCCTGACTTTGCTGCCCACAAGCCAGGATTGGGCGACTCCAGAGTCCGCAAGAAATCAGCCCGCGCGGACATCTCTGGCTTCGTGAAGGGCCCCAGGGCCAGCGTGTGTTTAGGGGTGCTTCGGGCAGGGGGAACCGTCCCCAGTCAGTACTGGCCCGAGTCAGTGCTTTGTCCTGCTGTGCTGATCAGGGTGCTGCGTTGAATCCGTGCTCAGGGACTTGTGGTCCCCCGAGGAAACGAGTTGTGGAGAAACAAGTACCGGGCCAGATGCGGGCAGCCGTCAGCTCCCTGCTCTGTGGTTTTGTCGAAGTTGGTTAATGCTCCGAAATTCCCCTTCCTTACTGTGAGGTGAAGGGCTGGCCTGGCTGACCGGCCCTTTGTCCTCGCTGTACCCTGATGAGATCCCAAATTCTTTCCTTGTTTGCTTTTTCTTTTACTCCCTCCCCACTTCAGTTCTGGAGACTGAACTCAGGGCCTTCACACCAGGCCACCCCCGCTTTGGTTCTCAGTCTTTGATTTTGAGAGGGGATCTCCCTAAATCCCTAAATCGCCAGTCTGGCTGCAGGTGTGTGGTTCTCCCGCCTCAGCCTCCAAGAGTGCCGGGATCGCAGGTGTGCTCCCGCGCCGGGCTTCTGCTTGCTTTGTGATGAGGGCTTAGGAAGCGTTTGAGGAGGTGCTCTCTGCTCCTGGAGGAGGGGCCTGCGGGATGTGCTTCTGGCCCTCCCGGAAACCTCCGTGCTGCGCTGGGAGATGGGGTTCTAGGACGGGATCCTTGGTGGTCCCTGCTCCCGTTCTCTCCTCCGCTGTGCGTGTGGGCTGGGCAGCAGAGGGGAGGGTCACACTTGCTGTGCACCTGCTGGAGAGGTGGCCACCAGCTTCACATGGGCCTGCAGTAACGTCAGTAAGTAAACCAGAGAGTGCAGTTCCGGGGGCTGCTCTCGTCAGAACAGCTCTGCGGTCGGGCTCTGTGAGGGTCAGAAGGCCCTGAGAAGCCAGCGGACGATGGGAGCTCCAGTGAGCTACGTGTGGCTGCGCGGAGGACGAGAGGGGCTGCGGCCTTCGGGCCAGCTGTGTGGTGCACGGTGCACTGTAGTTGTGTGGGAGGGAGGTCTGGTTCCCCTGATCCTGGCCCAGGCGTGGGCCAGGCAGGGCTGTGGGAGTGGAAGAGGCTGGTGGCGCGGGGTCCTCCGTGGAGAGGCCAGGGCGCCCTGGCCTTCTGTGTGGGGCTTCTCTGGAGCGGGAGGAGGTTTGTGTCGTTGGAGGTGTGTGTCAGCGTGGACTGCGCGCTGGACCACCTCGCCCAGACAGTGTGTCTCAGCATTCTCAGGGGTGCCCACTTGTGTGCCTTCTCAGTGCATTATGGGTCCCCGCCCACAGATCCATCAAAACCCACTAGGGAGCTGTGAACACACCCTGCCCTGCGTCCTCCGGGCTGGGTGGGGTGGATGCGCCGGGTGTCCCCGAGCCAGGCAGCTGTGGGCACCTCCTGGGCCCCAGGGCAAGGCGCCCTGACAGTGCGAGGCCCGCCCGCGCCTGCAGCGTTCATCCTTCTCCGCCTCCAGGCCCAGTGCAGCTCTCTGCCTCCTGCAGCTCCGGGAGAGAAGGGCCCTGGGGACGGGCTTCGGGAGGGAGCGTGATTCGCCCTCACACGGCCAGCACCGGCCGCCTCCCCTCCCTGCCCTCCACGCGGGCCCCAGTGGCTGGCCCGGCTGGGGCGGGAGCGTCTGGCCCAAGTGCCCGCGCCTTGACTCAGTGGCTTGGCATCCTGGAAGGCGCCCAGCGTGCCTGGGAAGGTCACCTCCGGCCACGGATGCTCACTGATGGATGCTGACGCTGACTCAGGCTTTATCCTCCCGGGTCACACTGGAGCGGAGTGCGGGCGCCTGGCACGGCGGCCGGGTGGGACGTGTCACCGCCTGCCGGAGTCAGCGCCCGCATGCTCGGCGCCGTCACCCAGCCTGGCTGAGCCCCACACCCTGCAGGGCCCTCTGCTCCCGCCTCTCCCTGTCTGTCCGAGTTAGGGCCTCACTGGGCAGCAGGGCTCTCTGTCCAGTTGTGGAGGCGCCGTGCTGGTTCCAGCCCCCATGTAGAAGAAGGTTGCTACCCCCGCTGCTGCCCGGGATGGCGCTGGCTGAGGCACTGGCTCCTCTAGCTGGTCGGACTGGGAGCCCCAGGGCTGGGGAGCAGGTGTGCGCCTGTGTGCACCGCGGGGCGGCTCTTCTCCCTCCCCCCGATCGAATCTGAGGCCTGGCCCGTGCTGCCCAGGCTTGGTTCCCGTGCAGTGTTTCTGTCCCGTCTGAGGCGCTCGTGGGAGAAAGGCCTCAGTCCCAGGACGGTGGTCCCTGTGGCCGGAAATGAGGGCCAGGGGCGCTACTGGATCCAGACGTGGTTCTCTCGCAAGTTCCCTGCCTCGCTGGTTCTCACCTGTGTAAAGGGAGTGAACGGAGGAAGACGGGGAGCGGGAGCTGCCTGGAGGACTGGCGGCCGCTCCTGGACGGCCGGGCCCCTGGGGCAGGAGCTGCAGGAAGCCTCGGTCCCTGTGGCCAGGCCGCCTGCCGAGGCGCGTCCCTGCCCGGAAGGAGCTGTGTGTCTCCTGAGCCGGGGTGGCTGCCGTGTCCCACAGTGATTTGTGTTTGATGACAGCCCGCGTGTGACTCAGTCCCCGCGTGCGCTCACTCAGACTGTGCTGTCCGACACAGAAGCCGCAGGACACAGCCCAGGCTGCCTCCCCTGGGGCATGTGGGTGTGAATTTTGAAGACAGAGTTACGTATAATTAGTGTTTCATGTTGATCGAATGTAGATGCGGTAACATGTTAGACATACCGGGTTAGGTGAAACATACCATAGTTTATTATTTCACACACTTACTACTTTTGTAAAAATGTGGCTGCTCTAAAATTAAAATCCCGGGCTGTGGATATAGCTCAGCAGCACGGTGCCTGCCTGGCAAGTGCAAGGTCCTGAGTTCGATTTCTGGCACAAAACAAATTAGTTAAATTAAAATTCCATGTGCAGCCCACATTGTATTTCCGCTGGACAGCTCTGTTAAGGAACCGTTAGGGCCAGACTCAGGGTCCTTCTGAGGCAGGGCCTTCGGGGTCCCAGGTGTGAGTGCATCCCTCCTGTGTGCGGGTCCGTTGCAGGTTCCTGTTGTCCTTCCGCCCAGGCTGCGTAATGTAATGCACCCGGCCAGCTCCGAGCTCTCAGTGCTGGCCGGATCTTCCAGGCTGGAGTGGGGCTGTGGGGAGTGGGAACAGGACGAGGTCTCGCAGGCTGCCCCGCCCCTCCCAGGCAGCTGGAGGGGTGAAGGTGTCGCTGTGGAGAGCAGGTCGCGTCTGGACAGAGGCAGGTGCAAGTCCTAGCGGCAGAGCCAGTCCTTGGCCCCCGCCTTCTCCAGGCAGGACCTCCGTGCAGCCTGACACTGCTCCTGGGAGCGTCCGCGGCTCCCTGGGGTTCCAGGAACTTGTCTGCCTTTCCTGGCGGGGCGGATGACCAGAGCCAGTGTCATTCCCGCTTTGCCGATTCTGGAAAACTGTGGGTCTGTCCTGTTTTTTCCTCTGAGGCGCATGTATGGAGGCCCTCCTCCCTGCCTCGCACCTGCCTCCAGGACAGCCTCCGGGCCCATGTCCGCTCGCCTGCCTGAGTCCCGCAGGCCGCCTTCCTCGGGCCCCCTCCTCAGCAAAACCCGGGCGGCACGGGCTCCACCGGCTCCACGCCGCTCTCCCTGTGCCTGCTCCGTCTCCGTCCCCTTCAGCGCGTCCATCCTGGCCCGGCTCTCTGCTCCCTGGCTGCGCAGCAGCACTCAGGGCTAGCCGACCCCGCTGCTCAAGAGCCTCGCCCTGTGCCCAGGGGTCTGGCCGCTGTGCTCCAGGTGCTTGGGTCTGGTGCCGAGGGGCGGTGAGTGCGGTGAGCGCGCCGGAAGCTGTGCGGAGGGCCTGCCCGCCTGGCCCGGAGGGTGGTCCTGGGGGGACCCGCCCTGACAGGAAGTGGTGCAGAGGGACGGGGAGGCTGGGCTCAGCGCAGTGCAGAGAGGAGCAGGGCGCCTCGGGTGGAGCAGCGAGCAGGGTAACAGCCAGGGCCTGGGAGGCTGAGTCCCTCGGGCTGCCCCTGCCTCCGCCTCCGCCTTCACTCAGTGCCCCTCTGCACGGCAGGAAGAACTGGAGCACCTGAACCAGGCCAGCGAGGAGATCAACCAGGTGGAGCTGCAGCTCGATGTGAGTAACTGCCTGTCCCCGCACGGCGCTGTCCCGCGGCAGACGGGTGGAGGAGAGAGCGTTTCCGAGACCCCCGCGCCCTGTCCCTTCTCCAGGAGGCCAGGACCACCTACCGGAGGATCCTGCAGGAGTCGGCCCGGAAGCTCAACACGCAGGGCTCCCACCTGGGCAGCTGCATCGAGAAGGCCCGGCCCTACTACGAGGCCCGGCGGCTGGCGAAGGAGGTGTGTGCGCGCACACACATACACACACGGCCAGGGGTGGCGGGCTGCGGCTGGTAACTACTGCAGACCTGCCGATGTTCGTTTCACTTCTCGTGGTGCTGGGGCTCAAACCCAGGCCTCGTGCAGCTCAACAGTGCCGGCGGCGTGAGTCCCTTCCGGCAGAGTCCCTTCCCTGAGTGAATCTGGTGTCAGCTCCACGTTCACTTTTCCCATTTCCCTCTCTTCTCTGCACTGGGTTCTGGTCTCTTCCTTTGCTCGCCTCCCCACCTAGCCTCCTGGCCACCTGGAATCTGCGGCACACCTGCCTTACGCATCTATGCGGGGGCGGGGTACGGGTTGGGGAGGGGATCTGTTTACCCGGGGCCAGGGAGCTGGTCACGGGTGAACACCTGGGAAGGTTTCAGGATGGGCTGGGCCATGCCACTCCACACAGGGCCACACGGGGGCGCCCGGGGCCGGGTGGAGGGAGGCGCAGGTGAGGTCGCTGCCTGGGGCTGCCCGCTGGAGGCAGCTCTGGGCCGCAGGGCTGGTCTCTGCCTGTCCGCTCCCAGCCCTCTTCCCTGGGGTCCTCAGGGTTCCCCACCTTGACACCCTGATGTGCCCGCCCCCCACCCCCCAGGCGCAGCAGGAGACGCAGAAGGCGGCACTGCGCTACGAGCGGGCGGTGAGCATGCACAACGCAGCGCGCGAGATGGTCTTCGTGGCGGAGCAGGGCGTCATGGCCGACAAGAACCGCCTGGACCCCACGTGGCAGGAGATGCTCAACCATGCCACCTGCAAGGTGAGCCGCGCGTCCGCCTGCGGCCCCTGGGGTGCTGCGCCTCTCGGTCTCTGTGACTCAGGCCCCTGCTTGGGTCACCGGGCCGGCACCGGCTGCTGGACGCACGTGGGCCGCTCTGCTCTCGTGCCTGGTCGGCCGCGCTGCACACGCTGGCCAGGTGGAGTTGCGTGGGGCCTGGTGCTCGCAGAGGTGCTCTCGCTTCTCTTTCTCAGGACGTTAGCTTTCTGTGCAGTTAGCAAATCACAGCCGCTTCGGGGCCCCAGGGGTGTGGTGGGAGCCTACCGTGCAGTCCCTGCTTAGGAAGCACTCGCTGAGAGAGGGGAGAGTCCTGCCCCTTTCTCCTTTGAGCTTGCCGCACCTCTGGGCTTCTGAGGTGTAATGTGCATGACTTCCAAGGTCAGGAAGCCCGGCGGGAGGGCCTGTGGCTTGGGTTCCCCCCACGCTCTGCACACAGCTGGGGATCACGCTGGCTGCGGCCCCGGGCAAGGGTGCCAGCCTCTCCCAGCAGGGCAGTGCTGAGCGGCCAGTGCTGCAGATGCCAGCAGGGCCGGGGTGGCAGCAGAGGCCTCGGGGACAGACCTGGCCCCTGCAGGTCCCAGGTCCCCGCTGAGCCCCGCGCAGCGTGGGGTTTGTGGAGCTTCTTCCCGCCTGGGTCCCCAGGGCAGCGCTGGGGGGGTCATCCAGGGGCGGGCAGCCAGGATGAGGCGTGCCCGACCCAAGGACAGTCTGCCCGCCCCACGGCCAGGTGAACGAGGCGGAGGAGGAGCGGCTGCGGGGCGAGCGGGAGCACCAGCGGGTGACGCGGCTGTGCCAGCAGGCGGAGGCCCGGGTGCAGGCCCTGCAGAAGACACTCCGGAGGGCCATCGGGAAGAGCCGCCCCTACTTTGAGCTCAAGGCCCAGTTCAGCCAGATCCTGGAGGTAGCCTAGCGGGCAGGTGGGGTGCAGCATGGCGGCAGGGGGAGGTCAGGCCAGTGGCCATGGAGGGGGCGGGTGCTGTGGAGGGGGCACCCCTGAGTTGCTGTCCCGCCCTGCAGGAGCACAAGGCCAAGGTGACGGAGCTGGAGCAGCGGGTGGCCCAGGCCAAGACCCGCTACTCGGTGGCCCTGCGCAACCTGGAGCAGATCAGCGAGCAGATCCACGCACGGCGCCGCGGCCTGGTGCACCCACGGGGGCCCCGGCGCTCCTCTCCGGTGGGTGCCGAGGCCGGGCCGCAGGGCCTTGAGGAGGCTGACAGTGGGGCCGAGGGCGGCGTGGAGGAGGTGGGCCTGGGCCCCGGCTCGGGCCCCGACACGGACTCGCTGAGCCTGCTGAGCCTGCGCACGGTGGCCTCCGACCTGCAGAAGTGCGACTCCGTGGAGCACCTGCGCGGCCTGTCGGACCATGCCAGCCTGGACGGCCAGGAGCTGGGGCCCAGGCCTGGGGCCCGCGGGGGCCGCCACCAGCGCAGCGTCAGCCTGTAGCGTGGGGCTGGGACTGCAGTGTCCCTGCGGGCTCGGCGCCCTGCGCAGCGTATTCCTGCTGTGGGGACCTCAGCTTCCCTGGGAGAGGCCAGCTTGCCTGCTCCCCGCCCTGGCTTCAGGGCCTCCCTCAGCCTGGAGGCCCCGGCTGCTGCTCCCTTCCCGGGCTGCCACCCTGGCTTCCTCTGTGACTGCTCGCCCTCCCTTGCCCAACCGTCCTTGGGGTCCCTTGGTGTGGAGGACACGGGAGCTCTGTGGAGGAAGTGGCCCCAGCCCGCGGGGAGGACCCGTCTGCCTGCCCCGAGCAGCTGCAGGTGCCAGGCCCTGCTCTTCCTGGCTGGGGCCAGGTGTGACCTTCGGGATGGACCTTGTGCCCTTCAGAGGGCCTGACGATGCAGTGTGGGGCAGCAGCTGGCCCTGTCGGCCGTGTCCACCCTGCGCTGGCCCAGTGTGTGGCGGGTCCCGGCGGCTGTCCGTACATCGCCAAGGTGCTAGCGGGTCCGTCCGGCGCAGTGCTGTGCGGTGGGGTGCCGTGGCCCTGGAGTCTGGCCTTGCTGGCTGGCGCCCTCCCTCGGTGGCGTTTGGAACCTGGTGCTCAATTGCTCTCCCTGGAGCCAGGTGCCCCCTGTGCATGGCGCCAGGAGACGTGGCCTGTCAGGGCTCCCCGTCTTTCCTCAGCTGGTCAGGAGCCGTGCCAGGCAGCGCTTGTGCCTCAGGAGAGCTGGTTCTTCCTGCCAGGATGGGCTCCGTCTTTGACCCGGGTTTCCTGGTTTTGGGGTGAAGGGACAGTCACGATGAGAACCTGGGGTTTGAGGTGGCCGCGGGGAGCGAGGCTGGGAGGGCGGCGTGCGTGTGCATGTGCTGGTGTGCGTGGGAGAGGCCCTGCCAGATCTATTTAAATAAATAGTTTATGTAAGAGCAGCGTGCCCTGTGCTGTGGGGAACGAGGGGCGGGGGCTCTGTAGGGGTGAGGGGAGGCCGGGGCTGGGCGCGGAGGGGCGGGGGCTGGGCCGCGTGGGCACTGCCGGAGCATCCGGAGGGGCGGGGCGTGGTTGTATTGGCCTGCTGCCCATCCGAGCTGCGGTGTGGCGGCCCTTGGGGTGGTTGGGCAGGGAGGGCTCGGGGAGGGTCAGCCAGGCGGAGGAAGAGGCTGCCGGGCAGCGGGATCCTGAGTCGTTGGGTGTCCTGGACCCACACCCAGGCCTCAGCCTCTCCAACCTGGCCAGTAGTTGCCCGATCGTTTCCTGCTCTTGGAGAAGCTGCTGGAGAGCCGTGGCTCGTGTCTACGTGAATAGATTTAAGTGGTAATTGCGTAAGAGACGTGGAACATGACCTCTGACAGTGAGGTACTTGATGGCCGAGCTTCTTAGCATATTCATGAACTCACCCCTTTTCTATGTTTAATTTTGTTTTAAAGATACAGTTTTCGAACAGACTAATAGGAGGTAAAAGTGGTACATTGTATTGTCTTCATAGTAGTTACTCAGTACAAGATACAGGCGCGGCATCTTGTCCAAACAGTATTTGCACAAACCTTTCTTCTCAGTGAACTGAGACTAGCTGTGGAACTATTTTACATATATATTTTCTCCTTTTCCCTTCCTTTCCCCTTTCTTCTATGTTTCTCTTTTCTTTTGAACAGTTTCTTCCCAATTCACAGTATCTGTTGTACATTTTGGATCTGGTTGACTCGTTCCGTTTCTCACACTAGTGAGACAATATGATTACACGTGTGACTCTCATTTATTTCACTTAGGAGTGCGCTCTCAAATGGCAACCATTTACCTATAAAAGTATCCTTTATGGCTCAGTAGTACCCTTTTATATTAAAAAGACCCCATTTATCCATTCCTTGATTGATGGACATGTGGGTTGTTTCCAAGATTTAGTTACTACTAGTTGTGCTGCTATAAACATGGGTGCACACATCTCGCTGGGATGATGTTTTCATTTCTTCTGGGGAAATACCCAGAAGGGGACTTGCTGGTCGAATGGGACCTCTAGTCCTAGTTTTTTGGAGGAATCTCCACACTGACTTCCTCAGTGGTTGCACAAGTCTACATTCCTACCAACAGTGGA